ATCAAGACAAATTGAGTCCATTGTCTAGATTCTTGCAAAATACAGACTGCGATAAGGAAAATATAGTCTAAAGTAAAGGGTTGCCAGAATTAGATCTTTATCATAAGGCGCCACAACATGGGATATGTTCAGAAAATCGGCAAATTTCAATGATATATTTCCTTAGCATTTTTAAAAATCTTTTAATTTGATCTATATAAATTGTAGTGTTAAAGGTACTGAAGAACGGTTTTACATTGGTGATCTATTTATCTCTCTATTTCTCTATCTGTTTATCAATCTATCTATTTTTCTATATATATTTAGAATGCACCCTGCTTCTCTCCCTCCTCTCTCTCTCTCTCTCTCTCTCTCTCTCTCTCTCTCTCTCTCTCTCTCTCTCTCTCTCTCCTCTCTCTCTCTCTCTCTCTCTCTCTCTCTCTCTCTCTCTCTCTTCCTTTCTCTCTCTCTCTCTCTCTCTCTCTCTCTCTTCTCTCTTCTCTCTCTTCTTCTCCATCCTTCCCTCCTCTCCTCCCTCCCTTCTCAGCCATCCTCTCCCTCCTTCCTCTTTCCTCCCTTTCTCCCTCCTCCCTCCTTTCCCCTCCCCTCTCTCTCTCCCTTTTCCTCATTTGTTCTCCTTCCTTCATTACCCTCTCGAACAATACGACAAGGTTTTACCAAGGGAATGAGGGAAGGAACCCCATCTTCAGGATCCTCCCAGGTGTGAGTCACAGAGAACGTTCTCAGGTGTTTTGCTGGCCGAGGAGATCGTCATAAAACATCCCTCATTGAAATGCAGATCTCGAAAAATGAGAAGCTCGATCCCGCTATCAATCGACCACATGGAGAGGATCTGTCTTGAAAAATGAGGTTTAGGCGCCCCCCCCCACCCCACCCCCCCCGCCCCCAAACTCCACCCTTCCCCCGTTTTACGTTGGAAATAAATCAGAACTGACGGCCTATGTCATTTTGAGGTTGTGAGTGCCAAGGAAAATCTGCAAAATGCATTTTTTTTTTATCACATGCAAGCGAAATCTTTAGAATTGCAAAATGGTGAATTTAACGAGTGTGTGTGTGTTGTGTGTGTGTGTGTGTGTGTGTGTGTGAGTGTGTGTGTGTGTGTGTGTGTGTGTGTGTGTGTGTGTGTGTGTGTGGTGTGTTGTTTGTCTTAATCTTACTGTGCATGCGTGTGCGTGCAAGCATAAGTGTGCATACTGACGTCGAGCGCCTCCTAAAACCTGCGCTATCTCCCTCCCGCAGCAGAGTGGAACGAGGAACGCGACGCAAAACTTCCCTCCCTCGCGGGTTCCGTGACGGCGCCGCCCTGGAATGTTATCTCCGCAAAAAGCCCGACGCCGCTTAAACCGCCGCTCATGAAGAAGTCCAACTCGCCTCCGAGGCAAGTTCGTGCAAAGCTCTTGAGAAATCGTGTGTGAACAAGAGCGCAAAGATGCAAGTAATGGTACGTAATGCGCGTTTTCTTGCATGCAGGTTTCCAAACTGGATAAGTTCATTTCATAAATATTGTGTATTTTGTTGTTTTCTTTGTCTTTCAGATTTCCGTGCGTTCTATTACAGCGCTATTACGTGCTATGAATACTTTACCAACGCGTTGTCCGTGTCCCTCCTTCCAAGAAGCACGGAAGGAGCAAAAAAAAAAAAAAAAAAAAAAAAAAACGACAGTACGAAAGAAAGAATCGGGAAATGGTACACAAAGCCGACGGGGAATTGAAAGAGAGAAAGAAAAGGAAAAGGCTAAATACGGAACAAAGGATGGGTTATATAAAGAAAGCGGAAACTGAAATAAGAGCGCGGGTCCCCCACCACCTCATGACTGAAGACGTCCAAGGAAGAAGCGGTGGGTCTTGAATATTCATGAGAGAACACGGCGGAAGGGCATTAAATGAGGGGCAGGAAGAAGGGTTGGCTCGCCTGATATAACTCCGAGGTCTTTTAAAGTGGGAGAGTTGGAAAAAAAATCCTTTGCCCTGTTTAAATACGTGCGGGCCTGCGTATTCTCCTACTTGATTGTAGTTTATAGTTTATAATCGATAGAAAGAGGTTGTGATTGCCTTTTTGGAAAATGAATATAAACACTGAAATTTCTTATCTGAGGTTGAGTCGACTATGACTACCTGAGAGATGGAAAAATGTTAAAGAGAAAGAGAGAAAAAATACCCTGATATGAGACGCGCCAAGCATTAGAGCCGCTCTGGAAAAGGATCAGCTCTTAAAGTTTAATACTACTTGATACCGCTCTGAGGAGAATCACGAATGAACTAATCCCTTTTGTGAAGCTCCTTTTATCCCGCGTCAGTGAAAGGAAAGCTAAGTGATATCCAGCCGTCCTGTCTTTATTTTCTTCTCCAATTCTCTCTTTCCACGAACTATTCTTGTTCTTTGACTGTCCTTTCTTTTATGTAATGTTTCGATGTTTTTCCTGTGACGAGAAGAGCTGTGACTCACCTGTTGTTGGGAGCGAAATGTGTGGTGACGCTTTTGGCCTCGGCGCTGCTGCCAC